CAATCATACAATGCCAAACAATAACAGCAAAAAAATATAATTACACTTAAACTGGAACCTTCCATATCCATTAAATATTCAGTTGTTAAAACAGGAACACTTCTGAGCTGTAAGTTTCTTTGAATAGCCATGTCACTAAGCCATATTGAAAGACTACCCTTCCCTTATATTCAGTCTATTTAATAAGCTCCTGAAATGTAGAAACAAGTTGAAAAAGATTTTCAAAGGCTCATAGAGATACTTTTAGCCACAAATAGGAGTACTTATTTAAAAGTAATTATTTAATCCTGTAAAGAAATGGACTGGTCATATCTTAAGTCAAAAGCAAATTTATTGTATAATCTGAGATTTTATGTATATATATATATATATATGTGTGTGTGTGTGTGGAAAAAAATGAAGAACTGTATAATGGCAATCTGATTTAGATAATTTATTATGATATATTTCTTCAAAGTAAAATTAAAAAAGTCAGTTTATGCTGCACTTCAATCATAAGAGACACAGGTGCTGTGATGGGCTGTAAAACAACAGGAACTTCCGTTAAACTCGAAGGGATCTATTCTTCCATCATGCACTTAAGTCAAAAAAGCACTTGCAAATTTACGCCCACAATGATTTTGGCAACAAGCAAAATGTGGAACATGGACTATTTACACTGTCAGTCAAATTGAAATTTGCAGAAATCTTTTTATTTGGAATATGAAGCCTGGCAGTACCCTACGACACTTATATTTGGTCATTTGCATGAACATAAGGAACCTTCGATAAAAACAAAATGTTACAGTGAAATATAGTGTTTGAATTTTGTTCAAAGTAGTTGACATTACCATAACTTACATAATACAATTGAACATTTTGAAAACTAAAATTGAAAGAATTATTTTTTCATTTAGTCTGATTTGCCTGCATAGGTGTGCTGCCAAGGCAAATGTAACTTGAATCCTGCTTAATGGCAATATCCTTATATGTTCTGTACTTACATGGTTATATATACTTTTGTGTTATATAATTCTTATATAATTTCATGTAATTATAAGAACAATTCAAATGTGTTTTGGAAGGTAACGTTAACTTATATTTAATAACTGTAAAAGGTTTTGATTTGCTGAAAGATCCTCATGTTTGTGAAAATGACCAAACATAAGCATAGCAGGCAAACACCATGCATTCATTTTCCAAATAAAAGAGCTTCATGTGGAATTCAATTAGGTTCACAATGTAAATCAATGTAAGTGAATGTTCCACGTTGTGTTTGTTGCCAAAATCATCATACATATGAGTGTTCATGAGTTTTAGCCCCACAGCGCGGCGATAGGCATGATGGGTTTTGTGTCTGTCTACCTTCCAATGATGTTGACTGAGCTGTGTAGTAGCTGTTAGGTCTGCAGAACGTCTACTTCCAGTTAATTATACCAGCTGGTTTTACAGGGGTCAATCATTACTTTTAGAAATGTGAGTAATGTTAGAGCACTGAGAAAGGCAGATGTAATGTCATCCAGAAATAGATGAAAGGTGATTTTTGCTGTTGCACAACAAAGAGAGTAGAGATTGCTGAAGTTGCGAAAAGTCACCAAATTAGTTGCTAGTTGCCAGATATTATTTTTAGTCACTAAGGAAAGTCATAAAGTCACTAAATCTAGCGACAAAGTCACTAAATTTGCAACACAGTGCATCTAGCGTTCAACTTAGCTGCCAGCTTACCCAGAGAGCAACTGTACATATCTCTTGAATGGAGTTGTGATGGCAAATGACAGATGACAGTTGTGTTGCAGTGACAGATGGCTTAACATTGTATGTGGATCTTATGTCTAGATGTGTTTCATAGACTGACTGATTTGGCAACTTGAATATCGTCAGACAAGCATACAAAACATATGAATCCGTGTATCACAATTATTCCTAATAAAGTTAGAGGGCCAAGCAAATTATGGGAGCTTCCTGGGAGAAACAAAATGGGCGGGCATTGGGAGATGGCCTTGAAACCCAGGAGAAACCCAGAAAAAAATGGTCAGGGTCAGGGTTAGGGTTGGCAGGTATAGTTCTCAAAAGGCAGATGTGACTTGAATCCTGCCTAAAGGTAATACAGCCCCACTTGTATATACTTGTGTATTTCTATATACGACAGTTATGTAATTATATTAATTATTCACATGCATTTTGGATTGTAACAATTGTTGCCTAAATGTTAAAAAGTTTTGTTTTGTTACATTTTTCCACTTTCTGAAAACTGCATTATTACATTTGGCCGTGTAGAGGAACATGTCTTACAGCTTTTCTTGGTTGCTTTGGACAATTTCTCTAAACAGTCTTGATGTTCTCTCTGTTGCTTGTGCATTTCTCAAAACTGTAGCACAATAATTTAGATGACCAAGAAAATGAAGCAATTGATTCAAAACCTTTTATTCATGTTTCAAAATGCAGTTTTCTTGTTAGGCATTTAGTCAATGCCACCAAAATGTAACATCTCTAGAGACAAACCAGTCAAAATGTCAAGTCATGTTGTCAACATAAAAATATACTATGGAAGTATTTTAAGAATTAAAATTGATCAACTGTTGCTTGCTTACTTCACTATCATTTTTCTTTAGCCAGCTGAATAACCTCATGTACTTATGTTCTAGAAACCATTACAAGGTTCTACCACACTGGTATTTTCTGCAAGACAGGAATACTGTAACATATGTAATGTGGATTTTTTTTTTTTTACAACAGAAATTACAATGCTACACAATGAACTAAACGCAAATCTGGAAGTTTTAAAACAACAATTAAGTTATATGTTACGGTAAACATGTAAACACTATTTTAAGTGTTGGAAGGAAGAATGCCAATTATTCATCATCGGTTGCCTTGTCACTCCTACTGGTCTGGCCACATATTTTCATCTACATGACGTCTGATATTCTCCCTTGCAATACATCCAGCAAAAAATCTTCTTACGTGCCCCAACCATCCTCTACAAGAATCTGCAGCCATGTCATCACAATCAGCATCCATTGCAGCGAGTACAGGAACGTGGTTGTGCGGCTGGTTACAAGCGGTTTCTCATTTTATCATCCAATAAAACCTCTATTTTTGAACTATTTCCCTTATATTTCACCATTGAAGGAACCTTTCTGACCACTGCATTAACATTTTTGCATGGGATGACTTACACTATGCATACATATGTAAATGTTTTGCATAGTAGAAGTAAACAAACCAGAAGCGTATAGTTCATTTTGGCAACCTAGGCCTACCTAATCCCAATGAGAAATAACATTCTTTTGTGAGAAACTGACTTAAGGGTGTGCAGGTTTACGTATTTGATTATGAGAAGTACCATTTTTATTTGACAATTTCTCCAAAGCAAAGGAGAAAAACTGTAATACAGCTCTCCAAACGCGTAGTGAAAAATGCATTTAAGTGCACTTAAGTCTGTGGTAGAGAGTGCGTAAGGGTCATTTATATGCGACACGCCCATATTTTACTCCGTCAAAAGTGGGTATCTAGCCTAAGTGCACTTAAACTCCGGTCTTATGTCGATGGGAGAATATGCATAAGTGAGAAAATCCTTAAGTGCCTTGGAGAATGACCCCCAAATCACTAGAGGCTGTAAATCATACAAGCAAAATTTGCTGTCATTTGCTTAAATGTGTTAAATTCCATTCTTCTCCTGATAATTTAGCACCTGCTGTAGTACGGTCAACCTAATGGCTTTAAGTCTCTCTTTTAATCTAATTACACCTCCATGTATGGACCACTCTGTATGCAAGGTTTTTAGGTAACATCAGCATGGCAGTGAGCAATGTTCAAAAACAAACATGAATAAGTGCAATAGTGTTACTCGAAGGCACCACATCAAGGCATGGCACCAAATCTAATTGTTTTTTTATTACTTACGAGCAACACAAAATATCAGCTGACCTTTCCTAAGAACACACACACACACACACACACACCACGCACACACAACAGGTGTACTGTACACTGAGACAGCAGGTTACTTGACAAAGGGGAAAAGCAGCTTTAAAACTTTTCAACATAAAATTTGATTATTGTTGATTTTACATTAATGACCAATATTATTGTAAGTTCCAAAAATATAATATTGAACAGGTATTGTTGTCCGTGTGATTTTCTGCAGCCTATACTGCATGTGGACAAGCTGCACATTTGACCGATTGCCTTTGATAAAGTTTCTCTGACAAACTAGACATGCGATGCTTAATTAGCCATCTATGCTGCAACATATCTGATACAGTTACAGAAGCTTCAGCCTCATTTTCAGTCTTAATGATTGATTTGTGACAGGTTCAAACAAAAAACAAGCAAAACCAATATCATATTGTTTGATGATAATCTGATTATGATGATCTAAAATCATTATTGTGGGCGCACTTGAACTGTGCAATTTTAAATAATATAGCCTGCCCTAACCATTGAAATAACATCATATACTGCACGAAAAAGTGGTAGTTTTATTTAACGTTATATTAGGAGAGTTCCATTAGACGACTTATCTGAAATTAATTAAATGAAAGCGAAAACATAGCCTATATTTGCCTTTCAACGACCTTCATTAAATCCTTAGCTGAAGATCCATTTTGTTCCAGTCGCCGGCTTTGAGATGTCAATAAGATCCTTTAACTCAAAGTCTAGGGTTGCAGCTTCTTTGACTGAATGGAATAGGGATATACACATTTTTGCAGACTGATACAAATTTCCGCTATTACGATTACATTCACAACACAATTCTGGTGTACATAATTAAATAGACCAATCATTATTTTAATTTGATTTATCAAAGGCTTTCCGTTTTAAAGTAGCTACATGGGAAACTGGACGATGTCAGTTTTGTTTTTTTATGTGTTGACAGCTGTGCTGGCTGGTTGGTTAATCTCAATAAATGACTTTAACTAACAAGGATGCATTGGGGGATGAGTTGAGTAATATACTGACCTCTTTTCTGACAAAATACTTGTAAACATTTACTTTAATCGCAGCAGATCTCTCACCTTGGCTGCCACAGACGAACTAGGTTTCTCCAGAAGATCCCAAAGTTTCTTTCTTTTCTCCGCACAAAATGTGTTATCAAATTCTTCACCTTCTCTTTCCTTCATATTGTCCGCTTCGCGTTTAAGCTCCTCATTCATTTGTTCTTTTTTCTGATGGTACCGAGCCTGACAGCAGGACTCCAGGTATATCTCATCGATGCCCCAGTAGTCCAGTTCCTGGCTGAAAGATAAAGCGCACATCTCCTCCATCATGTGTAACTTGCCGGTGCGATAAAAATTAAGGATGGAAGTAAATGCTCCTGGGTGTCTGTCAAAAAAATACTCATTATCCTCCAAACTGTAATCGTCGCATATCTCCATCAGTAAGCTGTGAGAATTGCAATCTCTTAGTTTACCCAGTCGGGTGCGCGGTAACCTGTCCAGGGTTCTCCATAAGACCTCATGTGGAAGACCCCCCACATTTAGCCTCACCCTGCGGCAACAAGCCTTGCTTCGGATAATCTCCACAGTATCAGGGGGCAGCGAAGAAGTCGACCGCGAACCCGATTTATTCATCCCGGAGTAGTATCTTTACTCCAAATATACGGCCGAGATCCAATAAGTTCAGTCGGTCCAGAAGAAAGGATCCTGGGGGAGCGGGGGTGAGGGGGTTAGCTTCTACATTTGAATTTGTTTTCCTCCATTTTTGAGACTGCGAGGAAAGACAGAAGAATAATCAGAGACAGTTTCTAAAATGGAGACACACCCTGACGACCTATGCTGATAAGAAACGACATTTATTTTGCGCGCTGTCATGTTTTTTTATCCACAAATTCGAGGAGAAAATATATCATTTAATCTGCTCTAGCAGCCTTCCGCTGCTGCGTTGTAGTCAGTGGCAGGGGGAGGCGCAAAGTGAGCGCTATCCAGTCCAGCAGTGCTGAATCCGCACCCCCTTCCTTTTTACCCTGTTGTTCGACAAAATTGTTTTTTACTTTCGGGTTCGCCAAAGTAATCCAGGGGATAGACAGCAGAGATGCAAGCATTTAACTGCAGTTTATCCGTGTTGTTGCACAACAATCAGATGGTTTCATAATCGTCACAGTAAAGTAAGATCTAACAATATTCATAGTTTAAATTGTTTATTATGGTAGGTACCTCGATTTATCCGGCAATGCATTGTGTCTCTACTGGAGCGCTTGGATAGAACAGCTGTATTTATTCATGCATTACCATCGATTTCATAACCAACGAATCGTTTTTTTTTTGTCAGCGTTCATTCAAAATCATTTAATTTGCGAGTGAGTCATCATAGATAATGTATTACCAAAATATGTCATTCTTTTAACAATCTCGATAAAAACATTCGAATGACAGGCAAAATCGACAAAGTCTTCTCGCTATAGCTGCTGTGACCAGTTGCCACGTCCACGGGACATCTTCTGTGTCCGCTTTAAAAGCTGTATCTAGAACGACAAGAGCAATATCCCATCATGAATGTCATACAAAGCGTCATAATACAGGAAACATGCTTTGGGATAAAATATTGGCCTACTGAGGTAATTTTTAATGTTTTTATCATATCAGTAATTGTATGAGATTATTTTCTGTAGCGAACGATGCGGCTCAGGGATGGAAACGCGAGTCCACACCCGGGAATTTGATATCTGAAGCAACATGCATTTGTTATTACGCATATTGTCCTATATGCAAAAAAACAAAAAACAAAAAACTCAATCCTTTTAGACGATGTGTTTTCTTGTACATTTTCAGCTTGTAAAATGTCTTAGTGACTGACAAATGGCTATAATTGAATTAATTCCCCGTTAATGCTACAGGCTGAAATCCAGAGGTGACCGTTTGTTGCACTGTACTGAAGCCAGCACAAAAGCATTTAGCGCCTGAAACGACAGTGATTTCAATATGGGTCTAATCAAGCTCTTGATAGCTGATAGAAGTATCTCTGATTTGACATTAGCGCATTGTGTGATTCGTATGTCTAATTCGATTATTATTGTTACCATGTTATTCTCGGGGGCAGAGCAGTAACAGTCGGCCTTTCAAGCCCACAATCCCCAAACTAGCAGGCTACTGTTTTGACCACCGCAAAGCACATGTTACAAAAATCAAAATGACGCTAACTTTCAGTCATATCTACACCGTATGAACTCGGTTCAATAAAGTATATTTCACACGGAAGAGTGCAGTATGGGTATATCCAATTAGAAGTATTAATAATACTTGCATACTGTATTATCTTGGGTTTATGAAATTAACGGGTACTGATTTCAATCAACAAATAGCCTAATTGGTGATATATATGAAGCTGACACTGCAACAATCAATGCAGTTATCCCTGTTGATTGTGTGGTGGGACTGTTCTTTAAGTCTTTGTTTAAAGACTTTTATATATAAACCAATTAAACCATTTGGTTGCAAATCAATATAAATCGTATTTGCACCCTGGTGTATATCATTATCTTCACTCCAAATTCAGAAACCGAAAAATAATAAATTCATCACTATAGTAAGAATGTAAAAACGACAAAAGTTAAGTAATCTGAAAAGTAAATGAATGAATCATACTAAAATTGGTACCTCACTCCTTTAAGCATCAAAAACACTGACATGGCTAAGATGACAATACACACAACAATGCACATCCAGAGGATTATTCTATTTTTTAACACGATATACCGCAATACAATACAAAAAGGCAAAACATTACCATAATCAATTTTCACGTTTGTAGATTATCATCCAATTGCACATAATGGAAGGCCGTTTTAAAATGTATTAACGCTGCTGTTGTCGTCGTTTCCAACATTAAAACAACAACAACAACAATAATAATAATAATGGGCTAATAATAATAATAATAATAATAATACATAACTCAGCCATGACAAATCATTTCAGTGAGAAATGAGATTTTAAAACTCTCGATCGTGCACAATAAATAATCCACATACCTTCTTTTTGAGTAATCTCATTCAAGGATTGGAATTCAAACCATTTAACAAAAATAAAATGGAGAAACGTCACCGTTTAATACGCGACTGACTGAATTCCGTTTTCGTTATACACAGAGAGAAATTCGCTCCTTTTCATACGTGTTTACCGAGGATCAGAACAACTTGTCATCAATACCAGTCCGCCTCGTCAGTAGTTGCCTATATCAATGAACAAGATCAACAAGTACGTCGGGATTTCGCTGGATTTTTGTCCACCTGATCTCCCGTGCTTGTGGGTGAAGGACAGCACGGTGCCAGCCTTTCTGCAGAGGGGTGATTTGCTGCAGCTCCACCAACTGGCTCCCATGAGGCAGCGTTTTAACCCTTCCCACGAACAACCGATGGATGAACACAGCACAAGGACAGCCTAAGATTTCCATGGGGGGGGGGGGGGGGCAAAACCCATATCTAACTATTTTTAGGTTGCAGAGCGACACATGATACATCAGTACTTTCTATGAAGTTGGTTAGATGTTCAATTTTAGGTCAAAGCCACATGCGAGATGTTAAGAACACTTGCATTAAAACAGCGTGCTCAAAATGAAATGCAAATACAGGGTTTCTTTCCTAGTTTTCTATAACTATAGCTATAACTATTCCCTATAGACATTTTCCATTACTGCAAACAGAAGTCTCAAACTAAAAATAAATTATGTCTGTATCTGTGTTGCTTAAAGCTGCCTGAACAAAACCCTTTCACTCCACTATTTCTACCAACAGCATTTTTAAAATCAGTTTATGACATAGTTCTTAAAACAGAAGGTGAATGTTAATGAACAAAAAAATCTAAATCTAAAACTTAATTGGCAAATAGAAGCCGGACAATAGAAGCCTGGCTGTCTGGAGCCTCACAGCCATTGAACATGCTCTTAATAACTGGAAAGACCCTCATTTTAAGTTATTACGCGTCAACGAAATAAAACAAATATTGCAAATTGCAATATTTTTAACCTGTGTGTCGCTTGTCAATGTTTTAAAATGAAATGAACCAATAACAATGACCATCACCTTTCGCCTCCATCAATTTCCCCATGAGACGCTACCTGGATTGCTTTTATTTTAGCTGTGGACTCTGGGAGTCTGTGCAACATCTTGACTGAAGCTCTCGTGTTGTTTACACCCATGAAGGAATACAGGTACTATTGTATAGTTTGTATTGTATGTATCTATATTTCTAAAAAAAATCTTTAATACAGTCATAATTTTAACACACAAAAAATATATTGATACAAACTGTATTGCATTATTCTATTTGTCATACTTATGGTCTGACAGTGATTGCCCTATTGTTTTATCCTATACGGCATACTTGTGGTTTGACAGTGATTGCCCTATTGTATTATCCTATACGTCATACTTGTGGTCTGACAGTGATTGCCCTATTGTATTATCCTATACGTCATGCTTGTGGTCTGACAGTGATTGCCCTATTTTATTATCCTATACGTCATACTTGTGGTCTGAAAGTGATTGCGCTGTTGTATTATCCTATACGTCATACTTGTGGTCTGACAGTGATTGCGCTGTTGTATTATCCTATACGTCATACTTGTGGTCTGACAGTGATTGCCCTATTCAATTATCCTACACGTCATACTTGTGGTCTGACAGTGATTGCCCTATTGTATTATCCTATACATCATACTTGTGGTCTGACAGTGATTGCCCTTCTGTTATCAACATCTTGCCTCTACCTGGTTTTGTGCTTTTGGAGCTTTGGTCGGTTTACTTCTCTGCCTCACTGATTTTGGCTGCTTGTGGCTATGATCTGAGCCTCCTGATTAAACATTAATTCACATTTGGACCCTCCAATCTGTTGATTACACCTACATGTTTGACCCATTATATTTTTGAATATGTTTGGAATGCAGTTTTGTTTTTGGTAAACATAATGGGGCCTGTGTTGGTCAAAAAATTGATTTTTGGCTGTCTGTTTGTAGAACATAGTACCATAGCCCCTTTTTCATCACTCTGTGTATATTTCCTCTCATTCTTTACAATATGCACGTAAGCATTGGAACTGGACCATGGAGCAGTGGAAAAAGGTCACCTGGTATGATGAATCCTGTTTTCTGCATCTGTGATACCTTCATAAGGCAGTACAAAGCATCCTTAATGCTCATACAGACCACTATAATGTATTATGAAGGTCATGAAGGTATCTATAGTGCATTATAGATGAGAACTTCATAAAGCATTCATAATACATAATGGTCGATATAAGGATTAAGGATGCTTTGCATTGCATTATGAAGGTCTCCATAGTGGATTATATAGCAGAGCTTTATAAAGCATTCATAATACATAATAAACATGACTATAATGTGTTATGCCTTTTTATGAATAGGTATAGCCATGCTTATAATGCTTTATGAATGCATTATTATTTGTTATGAATGTGCCAATGAATTACTAAAAACATAGCCTTAAGTAAAGTGTTACTGTATTTCCATGCACACTGAAACAGGTGAAAACGTATATGACGTGGTTATTAGACTACACTGGGCATGCATGCATTGACACGCTGATCAGTCAATTAGTTTCTTTTTGACCAAATATGCAGCACAGAGGGGGTCCCCACCATACAATGTGTGGAGCAAGCAGGGGGGGCATGATAATAATTTGCCCAAGACTAGAACACACATAAAGAGTTTGCAAGCAGATTTTTTTGGGGTACAGACACTTTTCAGACAGAATTGAATGGTTTAGGTGCTTGAAGTTGGTTTGATCAACATCCAGTCATGTGCAACTACAATCAACACCATCAAAAGATACTACTTCTTGTAGACTGGATGGGCAAACATCCATTAACCCTTCAGTATACTTGTGATGTTGAAGAGCTGGTCCAGCACTCCACAACCAGGATAGAATCTGCATTGTTCCCTCACAATCTGAGGCATAAACCGTCTCACGGAGGCTGAGAAGTGTCATCCTCCTGGACTTGGAAGCCATCCTCTGGTCCGCTTCCTTAAACCAACACCCCAATCTGCCAATTCAAAGGCACCCCAACTTCCACACAATGTTGAAGAGGTGTGTCAACGAAAAAGGCCCAACAACATCAAGAGCTTTCAGGAACTTGGGGCAAGCCCCTAGATCACCGGTGTCAAACTCCAGTCCTGGGGGGCCGGAGCCCTGCACATTTTTGGGTTTCCCCTCATTTAACACACCCGATTCAACCCCTTGTGCTAATTACCACACAACTCTTGAGCTAAATCATTTGTGATGGAACAGGGAAAGAACTAAGCTACACGGGGCTCCCGTGCTCCAGGACTGCAGTTTGAAAACCCTGCCTTAGAGCCTTACCACCAAAGAGTTTTTTGACTACTTCAGAGTTTCCTGGGTATGACATTAAGCTGCATCCAGCCCTGCAAGCAGTCCTCCAGCTTGGGGGGGGAAGAATTTGGGGGGTGGAGGATTGGCACTCCAGTCACCATAAAAAATATTTCACTGAGCTCCAAGTCAGCAGACTGGACTCACTTCTGCTGTCTGTTGGAGTAGCTCTGCTGCAGCCACACACAGGAAGGCTGCACGCACCATGAAGGGAATGGTGGAATTCCCCTGTAGCCTCATCCCCAGAGTAGCTGAAACCACAAGAGAGCCAGTGGAGTTAGGCTTATTGGGGATGCCAATCTGGCACCCAACTGGTGTGGTGCCACAGTGTCCTATTTTGAGGAGGCCCATCCAGGTAGACACATGAAATGTCTTGAACGCTTCGGTGTGATGACCATCTCTCCCTGCTGTTGGGGGAGTTTTGTAAACTCTGCATTTCATTGGCGACCCTCCTTAAAGTACGCAGACCGGGGAGTGACCAGATTCCTATAGGTGGGTTCACTTATTATTGGTCTGGTCACTTAGATGGCTATTGCTGTGGCGGATCGCTCCTCCCGATGGTGTCCGATGTTACTCATTTCAATGAGTGTATTATGAGACTCAGATTAAGGCACTTTCTCGGTGCCGTTTGTTGTCCCTGTATACGCTCCAACTTCCGTGAGTGATATCTTGGTGAGGGAGACATTTTTATTTGCAACTTTTCTCTGTGGTTGATGGGTGCTCCTCTCTTTGCGGGATCTCGCCAAAGTTGCTAGATGTTTTGCCCAGTCTGTACACTGGTACTGTGAGTGCTGTGTAGAGTGGAGGCTTAACCTCTACTTTCTTCCCAGGTTTGTCAGCTGTGGGACATCTGTTAGTGAGGAAAGATTTACTGATCTTGACTTTGCCTGATCGGGGCTTTTAAGAGACTGAGAAGTCTGAGTGCCTAGGTTTGTGCATGTCCTAGATCAAAAATAAGATCCAAGCATTTAATGACCTCATGGGCACAGCTGTCAGCAGTGTGTGTGTTTGTTGAGAGCTTGTTGACCTCATCGAGAGGTTCACATGCTTTGGCAGTGAAATTTGTGTCTCTAGTGACTTCTTTGAAGTCAGAAGATGGATTAAGAGAGCTTGAGGGGTCATGAGGTCGCTGGAAAGGGGTGTGTGACACTCCCCATAACTTTGTAAGGGGACCAAGGTCCAGGTCCTTAGAGTCCTGGGGGGATGTTTTGTGGGGGAGATCTCTGGCCTCCAGCTCTGGTATCACATGCTCACATCCCACAAAATACATGACAGAGATGCCTGCGGAAATCACTTGACAGGTGACATCATCACCTGGGCACAGTCAGTGGTCGAACCATACAGCCATAGAGCAAGACATGGATGCTATCCAGTGACCTGTGATGAAGACTAGACCCCTAACCCTAACCCCTTTGATACTGTCTCTCAAAATGAAGCACATTACCTGCATTGTGAGGAAGCATCAGTTACATCACTGCCGCCATGTGGTGCATTTCCCGGATGGTGATCCAAATCGCAGGATCCTCATTGCTGGGGACCCGAGCAGCTGGACCAGGCCAAAGGGACACCTATGTAACACCTGACTGTGGCAGATAGATGGGCACTTTCAGAGGGTGGGACTGGAACGTGTGTTTTTGAAGATCTCCCAGACGCTCCCAGTTCACCCTCACTATGCACACCATCAGGCCTATCAAACACACCACACACCTGCAATATAACAACTGACTTTATTGATTGCCTGTCGCAGTGCACATTAAATATCACAAGCTGACTTGTACACTTGTAACAAACCATCAACCATCTCTCCGGAGGTAGGTGCAGCCAAAACAACAAACAAAACCCCAAAGCTAACTTAAACCTGCACAGAAAACAAAGAATAAAAGTAAAGACAATACTCCTCCTAACTTCCTCTGTAAATGAAAAAACACTCGCAATAACATTCAACAAACAAAAATTGCCCT